TAATCAACAAACAACTAAAAAAGAAATGTAGAATTTCAAACAATTATGGAGCAGCACTTCTTACCTTGACCAATATTCAACAAATAACTAAAAAAGAAATGTAGAAATTCAACATAAATTAAAAAAAAAAAAAAAGACTTTGGGATGTCTCTATGACTACACAGTTTTTGAGCAGTGCTTCTTACCTCGACCAATAGTCAACAAACTACTAAAAAAGAAATGTAAATATTCAAAATATACCAACGATTGTATGCAAGCAAACGATTAGATGCCTTGGGACAACATCCTCTATGACCGCACAGTGCTCGAGCAGTGATTCTTACCTCGACCATAGTCAACAAAAAACTAAAAAAGAAATATAGAAATTCAAAATAAACAGACGACCAGATTCCTTGGGATAACCCCCTTTTTGACCTCATAGTTATAGAGCAGCGCTTCTTGCATCAACCGACCGTCAACAAACAACTAAAAAAGAAATGTAAAAATTTAAAATAAATAGACTTGACGCCTTGGGACGACACCCTTGACTTTATAGTTCTCGAGCAATGCTTCTTACCTGACCAATAGTCAACAAACAATTAAAAACTAAAAGTAGAAATGCAAAATAAATAGATACGACAGGATGTCTTTAGACGCCCCCCTTTGTTACCTCACAGCTCTCGAGCAATGCTTCTATAATACCCACTCATCGATAGCTCAATTCACATAAGTTACCACTCACATAGATATTTTGCTTTGAAAACAAGTTATAGACCAAAACATTTTCATACAGGACAAGTAAAACATTGAATCAAGTACTTTTTATAACATAAAATAATCCAAGTAAGTTTTCAACAAAAACACAAGTACTTAAACAAGACTTAGAATAGGATTCCTTGTTGTCTCGAACTTGCTAATCTTGTCCTCAGTTGGCCTGCAATTTCTTTATTTGACTAAAAAAATTAAAAATAATCTTGATGAGTAATTCATTTACTCAATAAGTAGCTAACTCGTCATTCACAAGTTTAGTACTTATCTTTCTAGTTGTTCTTAAGTTTTATTCAACCTTGATTCCTAGATTCCTATTTTCGTTTCCTAGGATCATTTGTACGTTAGTGAGGTATTTCAACTACCTCTAACTTAGGTTACTTCTATATGGTTGTTTAGAATTTTTGGACACATATATAAGACTCGTTCTCAATCAATTACGGCCCATCTAATAATTTTTTTAGCTGCATGTAATATCATATATACCAAAGGTCAGAAATACTCATTGTTCCAAACTTAACACACAACGTGTTGGTTAGGAACTCTGCAAGAATTAATAGACTACAATACTCATATTCTAAATCTTGCGATATGTTCTTTTGCGATAAATGAAAATGAAGTAAAGATGAGAATCAATATTTGGTTTACCATGGTTAGAAGAAATATCTCTCCAAAAGAACAAAATTTTATGGACAAGGCCAACTAAATTGACAAGCATCGAAAGTCATTGATAGATTTTCCGACGCTTGCTAATTTTGTTAGCCAATGTATGCTACATGACAAAATTTAGTGCGTCTAGAGACATTTTTGCCCGCCATAATCTAACATTTCAAGCCTCCAAAGCCCCCTCATCTCTCTTATATTTCTTCTTCCCCATTTGCTTCCCTACTCCTTCATTGGCATCCCATAATTTTTTGTGTTTTTCTCGTGGTGAATGACTATCCATTTTCGATATTCGAGAGAACTTGCTACTTTTCTGGTTTTCTCTCTTTTTAAATATCTTTTTTTTTTGTTCATAGATTATGTTGTGAGCTTAGGTTCATTTGGGGTATGCACAAACCTAAAAGGCTTCAATTTCATTTTAACACTCTAGAAAACAATATAGCTAGTGTCAATATGCTTCAAACTCATTAAAAGGGATACTTAAAAAAAAAAATCGACTCGAAGATGCATTTACATTTTATTTCAACGAAGCTACACCTAAAAATTAAGGGTTTTTATTCAATAGAAAAAGTTCTATTTTTTTAACGTTGCAGTTAATAGTCACACATTCTAACCACTAAGCTATTACAACCAATCATTTGTAAAAGACCATGCTCATCACTAGTAGATGTATTCTGCTTTGGCTCGCTACGTACTACGGTGGTTTCCACACTCTTAGTACGAATTTTTTATCCCCTCTCCAATCAATGTGGGATATCACAATCCACCCTCCTTCGGGGTCCAGCGTTGCAACCCTAGTCCTTAGAGTTATCCATTGCTTAATTTCTTAATGGTACATTTCTTAATTTCTTAAGCAAATTGAATGCATTTTCTTGCCTTTCCCCATTTAAAACAACATTTTTTTTTTACTAAATCATTTCATGGGCAACTATGGTGCTAAAATATTTTACATCTCTTATAAAAGCTAGCTAACCCATGAAAACTCTAAACTTCACTTGCAGTTTTTCGTGTTGGCAAATCACTAATGACTTTAACTTTCTCTTTATCTACTTTTACTCTACTTTTACTGACTATGAAACCGAGGAAGTGAACTTTTTACCAACAAAAACTACACATATTAAAGTTAGAATGGCATTTGTCCTTTCTATGTGTAATCAAAACTGACTTAATATGCTCCACATGATCAAGCAAAGTCTTCAAATAAATTAAAAAATCATCAATATACACAACATGTTTTCCCAAATATTGTGTCAAAACGTGATTCATTAAGGGCATAAAAGTACTTGGAGCATTAGATAACCCAAATGGCATAACAAACCATTCATATAATCGAAACTTAATTTTGAAAATTGTTTTCTCTTCATCTCTTAGATGCATTCTAATTTGATGATACCCAGATTTATCCTCGGACTAGTTCCATAAATTTAGTTGAGTTCATTAAATGCAACTTAAAGTGCATTTAATGCATCTCTTTCTTGAAGTTCCACTTTGCACAACATATATGAGAGGTCTCCAACGCCTTATAGAATTTCCTTTGATGAGCTCACCATAGCTTGAATATAAGTGTACAAGGTTTCTTGTACCTTCTTGGCTCTCGTCCTTGTAACTGGACCTTGAGGTATGGAAATTCCTTGGGCGTGGTTCATATCACCAGACAATATCTTTTAGCAGTGGCCTTTGGCTAGTAAAAAAAAAAAAAAAAACTTTTCGTCGCCTAAAAGATTCAAGCTCTCGGGGGGAAACCAAATGTACTTAGCAGGCACACACCTTAAACCCTCGACCAAAGCAACTTTTTTATTTTAGGCATGAATCTCGAAGAGACACTAGGGACAACAAAGTAGATGATTGATGAGGAATCAATAAGAACTTTGAGATTAAACAGTAGCTTAGATCATTGTAAAGGGTAAGCCCGAAATTCCTATAGACCAAAGGAAAGTCATGGAAACCTAGTAGAAGAAGGAAGCAATGAGAGCCTACAAGTAAGCTGGTTACTGAGTATATTTTTATACCTACCACTTTCTTCTTTAATAGTTCAGGTACTGTTCAAGGTGAGGAGATGCTCGGGAGCTCTACTATCACAGAAGGGTGTCAACCCAGAGTGTATGTTAGTTGTATTCGACCTGGGACATCAATTAGTTGTATAATTTTTGGGGTTCATCTTTAATTGTTTTGTATCCCATGTCCTTTTTTTTTACTTTTGTAAATAACTTTGAATGAATATTATAGGTGTTGTGTGTCTTTTAAACTGAGCAAAATTTATTTTTTGTCGTAGTTTGATTTGTCGAAACCTCCAAAATAGCCGATGAATACTTAAAATTCGGTCATCATAGATCTAACAACGGTTGGAGTTGGGAATGAAGCATTTCTTATAATAAGGGTGTGAATTCTTCTATGCGATCGTTAGGTAACAAGCCAAAGCGGACAATATCTTTTAGCGGCAGCCTTTGGTTAGTACAAAAAAAAAAATGAACTGTTGGACGCCTAAGAGATTCAAACTCTTGCGGCGAGACACCATGTACATAGCAGGCACACGCCTCAACCACTCGCCCAAATCAACTTTTTTTTTTTAGGAACGAATCTCGAAGAGACCTTAGGGAAAGCTAAGGTAAATGATTAATGAGGAATCAATTAGAACTTCAAGACGTACACGGTAGCTTAGAGTGCAATAAACGGTAAGCTCGAACTTCCTATACACCAAAGGAAAGTCTTCGAAACCTAGTATATTAAAAGGAAGCGATGAGAGCCTACCAATAGGTTGATTACTAAGTATATTTTTATACATACCCTTTTCTAATTTTCTAGTTTAGGTACTTATTAAGGTGGGGAGATGCTAGAGAGATCTACTATTATAGAGGGGTGTCGACCCGAAATGTATTGTAGTTGTATTCAACCTAGGACATCAATTAGTTGTATAATTAATTTTTGGGGTTCATTTAGAATTGTTTTGTATCCCATGCACTTTTTTTTCTTTTGTAAATAACTTAGAATTTCTGACATAGGTGTTGTATCTCTTGTAAAGCCAAATTTATTTTTCTTTCCAGTTCAATTTGTCCAAACCTCTCAAATCTGGTCCGGACAGATTCAACATCGGTTAGAGAGCGGAATGAAGCATTCCTCGTAATAACGGTGTGAATACCTCTATGAGATCGTGGGGTAATAAGACAAAGCTGACAATATCCTTTAACGGTGACCTTTGGCTAGTACAAAAAAAAAAAAAAAAGTTTTTCGTCGTGGAAGAAATTTGAACTTTTCCTAAGAGATTTGAACTCTTGGGGGGAAACCTCATGTACTTAAGAGCCGAATGAAGCATTCCTTGTAATAAGGGTGTGAATACCTCTATGAGATCGTGAGGTAACAAGACAAAGCCGACAATATCCTAAAAAAGCTTTTGGTCGCCTAAGAAATTTGAACTCTTCCTAAGAGATTTGAACTCTTGGGGGGAAACCCCATGTACTTATAGCCGAATGAAGCATTCCTTGTAATAAGGGTGTGAATACCTCTATGAGATCATGAGGTAACAAGACAAAGCCGACGATATCCTTTAGCGGTGTCCTTTGGATAGTACAAAAAAAAAGAAAAAAAAGGCTTTTTGTTGTCTAAGAGATTTGAACTCTTGAGGGGAAACTCCATGTACTTAGCAGGCACACGCCTTAACCACTCGACCAAAGCAACTTTTTATTTTTGGCATGAATCTTGAAAAGGCACTAGAGACAACAAAGGTAGATGATTGATGAGGAATCAATTAGAACTTTGTGACCTACATGGTAGATTAGAGCGCTATAAAGGTTAAGCCCGAACTTCTTATAGACCAAAGGAAAGTCATGAAAACCTAGTATTAGAATGAAGCGACGAGAGCCTACAAGTAGGTTGGTTACTAACTATATTTTTATACATACCCCTTTCTTCTTCTCTAGTTCATTTACTTTTTAAGGTGGGGAGATGCTCGAGAGCTCTACTATCATACAAGGGTGTCGACTCGAAGTGTATTGTAGTTGTATTCGACCTGGGGCATCAACTAGTTGTAAAATTTTTAGGGTTCATTATGAATGGTTCTGTATCCCATGCCATTTTTATCTTCTATAAATAACTTTGAATTTCTAACATAGGTGTTGTATGTCTTACACTGTGGAAAATTTATTTTTTTGTTGAAGTTCAATTTGTCGAATTCTCTAAAATTTGGTCATGAAAGATAGAATAGGTTGGAGAGTGGAATGAAGCGTTTTTTTACAATAACGGTGCGAATACCTCTATGAGATCATGAGGTAATGGGCCAAAGCAGACAATATCTTTAGCGGTGGCCATAGGCTAGTACAAAAAGAAAAAAACTTTACATCGCCTGAGAGATTCAAACTCTCAAGGGAAACAACATCTACAAAGCTGGCATACACTTTAACCACTCATCCAATGCAAATTTTTTAATTTTTGCACGAATCTCGAAGAGGCATTAGGGACAACAAAGGTAGATGATTGATGAGGAATCAATTAGAACTTCGAGGCCTACACGGTAGCTTTGAGCGCCGTAAATGGTAAGCCCGAACTTGCTATAGACCAAAGGAAAGTCGTGAAAATCTAGTATTAGAAGGAAGCAATGAGAGCCTACAAGTAGGTTGGTTACCAAGTATATTTTTATGCTTACCACTTTCTCCTTTTTTAGTTCAGGTACTGTTCAAGGTGGAGAGGTGCTCGGAGCTTTACTAACACATAGGGGTGTCGACACGGAGTGTATGTTAGTTGTATTCGACTTGGGACATCGATTAGTTGTATAATTTTTGGGGTTCATTTTTAATTGTTTTGTATCCCATGTACTTTTTTTTTTGCTTTTGTAAATAACTTTGAATTTCTGTCATAGGCGTTGTATGTTTTTTAAACTTAGCAAAATTTATTTCTTCGTCGCAGTTCGATTTGTCGAAACCTCTAAAATTGCCGATGAATACTTAAAATTCGGTCATGACATTTCCAACCACGGTTGGAGTTGGGAATGAAACATTTTTTATAATAACGGTGTGAATTCTTCTATGAGATCTTGAGGTAACAGGCCAAAGCGGACAATATCTTTTAGCGGCAGCCTTTGGCTAGTACAAAAAAATTGAACTGATCGATGCCTAAGAGATTCAAGCTCTTGCGGGGAAACCCTTTGTACATAGCAGTCACACGCCTCAACCACTCGGCCAAAGCGATTTTTTTTTTTCAGGAACGAATCTTGAAGAGACCTTAGGTAAAGCTAAGGTAGATGATTAATGAGAAATCAATTAGAACTTCAAGACCTACACGGTAACTTAGAGTGCAGTAAAGGGTAAGCTCGAATTTCCTATAGAACAAAGGAAAGTCTTGGAAACCTAGCATTAAAAGGAAGCGATGAGAGCCTACAGATAGGTTGATTACTAAGTATATTTTTATACATACCCCTCAATCCTTTTCTAGTTCGGGTATTTTTCAAGGTGGGGAGACACTCGAGAGCTCTACTATCACAGAGGAGTGTCGACCCGAAGTGTATTGTAGTTGTATTCGACTTAGGACATCAATTAGTTGTATAATTTATTTTTGGGGTTCATTTTGAATTGTTTTGTATCCCATGCACTTTTTTTTTTCTTTTGTAAATAACTTTGAATTTCTGACATAGGTGATGTATCTCTTTTAAAGCAAAATTTATTTTTATTCCTAGTTCAATTTATAGAAACCTCTAAAATTTGGTCATGACATATCCAAGGTTAGAGAGCCGAATGAGGCATTCCTTCTAATAAGGGTGTGAATACCTCTATGAGATCGTGAGGTAACAAGACAAAGCCGACAATATCCTTTAGCGGTAACCTGTGGCTAGTACCAAAAAAAAAAAAAAGCTTTTCGTCGCCTAAGAGATTCAAACTCTTGCAGGGAAACCCCATGTACTTAGCAAGCACATGCCTTAACCACTCAGCCAAAGCAACTTTTTTTATTTTTGGCACAAATCTTGAAGAGGCACTAGAGACAACAAAGGTAGATGATTGATGAGGAATCAATTAGAACTTTATGACCTACATGGTAGCTTAGAGCGCTATAAAGGTTAAGCCCGAAATTCTTATAGACCAAAGGAAAGTCGTGGAAACCTAGTATTAGAAGAAAGCGATGAGAGCCTACAAGTAGGTTGGTTACTAACTATATTTTTATACATACCCCTTTCTTTTTCTCTAGTTCAGTTACTTTTCAAGGTGGGGAGATGCTCAAGAGCTCTACTATCACACAGGGGTGTCGACCTGAAGTGTATTGTAGTTGTATTCGACCTGGGACATCAATTAGTTGTAAAATTTTTAGGGTTCATTATGAATTGTTGTGTATCCCATGCCATTTTTATCTTCTATAAATAACTTTAAATTTCTAACATAGGTGTTGTATGTCTTACAATTTTTAGGGTTCATTATGAATTGTTGTGTATCCCATGCCATTTTTATCTTCTATAAATAACTTTAAATTTCTAACATAGGTGTTGTATGTCTTACACTGTGGAAAATTTATTTTTTTTTGTTGAAGTTCAATTTGTCGAATTCTCTAAAATTTGGTCATGACAGATAGAATAGGTTGGAGAGCAGAATGAAGCATTCCTTATAATAACGGTGCAAATATCTCTATGAGATCGTGAGGTAACGGGCCAAAGTGGACAATATTTTTAGGCCTTGGGCTAGTACAAAAAAAAAATGAACTTTACATTGCTTGAGACATTCAAACTCTCAAGGGAAACCCCATGTGCTTAGCTGGTACACACTTTAACCACTCGACCAAAGCGACTTTTTTATTTTTGGCACGAATCTTGAAGAGGCACTAGGGACAACAAAGGTAGATGATTAATGAGGAATCAATTAGAACTTCGAGGCCTACACGATAGCTTTGAGCACCATAAATGGTAAGGCTGAACTTGCTATAGACCAAAGAAAAGTCGTGGAAATCTAGTATTAGAAGGAAGCGATGAGAGCCTACAAGGTTGTTGGTTACTAAGTATGTTTTTATGCTTACCACTTTCTCCTTTTCTAGTTCAGGTACTGTTCAAGGTGGGGAGATGCTTGGGAGCTTTACTATCACAGAGGGGTGTAGATCTGGAGTGTATGTTAGTTGTATTCGACCTGAGACATCAATTAGTTGTATAATATTTGGTGTTCATTTTTAATTGTTTTGTATCCCATTCCCTTTTTTATTTTGTAAATAACTTTTAATTTGAGACATAGATGTTGTATGTCTTTTAAACTTTGCAAAATTTATTTTTTCATTGCAGTTCGATTTGTCGAAACCTCTAAAATAACCGATGAATACTTAAAATTCGGTAATGACAGATCCAATAGTGGTAGGAGTGGGGAATGAAGCATTTCTTATAATAAGGGTGTAAATACCTCTATTAGATCATGAGGTAACGGGCCAAAGCGGACAATATCTTTTAGCGGTAGCCTTTGGATAGTAACCAAAATTAAACTTTTCATTGGCTTACAAATTCAAACTCTCGCAAGGAAACCCCATGTACTTAGTAGGCACACGCTTTAACCATTCGGCCAATGCGACTTTTTTTTTTAGTAATGAATCTTGAAGAGGCCCAAGAGACAACTAAGGTAGATGATTAATGAGGAATCAATTAGAACTTCAACACCTACACGGTAGCTTAGAGCGCAGTAAAGGGAAAGCCCGAACTTCCTATAGACCAAAGGAAAGTCTTGGAAACCTAGTAGAAGAACGAAGCGATGATAGCCTACAAGTAGGTTTGTTACTAAGTATATTTTATACTTACCCCTTTTTCCTTTTCTAGTTCAGGTTTTCTTCAAGGTGGGGAGATACTTGGGAGTTCTACTATCACAGAGGGGTATCGACCCGGAGTGTATGTTAGTTGTATTCGACCTCGGACATCAATTAGTTGTATAATTTTCTAGGTTTATTATGAATTCTTTTGTATCTCGTGCCTTTTTTGCGTTTGTAAATAATATTGGAATTCTGACACACGTGTTGTATGTCTTTTAAACTGTGCAAATTTATACTTTCGTCTGCGTTTGATTTCTTGAAACCTCGAAATTTCGTTGTGACAAATCCAACCACAGTTGGAGAGGGGAACAAAATAAATTTTTTATTTTAGGAACGATTCTCGAAGAGGTACTAGGGACTAATAAGATAGATGATTAATGAGGAATCAATTAGAATTCTGAGACCTACACGGTAGCTTAGAGTGATGTAAATGGTTTGCTTGAACTTCCTATAGACAAAATGAAAGTCGTAGAAACCTACTAGAAGAAGAAAGCGATGAGGGCCTGAAATCAATTAGAACTTTGAGATCTGCACGGTAGCTTAGAGCGATGTAAATGGTTTGCCTGAACTTCATATAGACAAAATAAAAGTCGTGGAAACCTAGTAGAAGAAGAAAGCAATGAGGGCCTATAAGTAATTGGTTACCAAGTATATTTTTATACTTACCCCTTTCTCCTTTTCCATTTGAGGTATTGGTCAAGGTGGGAAATTCTTTTTGTATCATGTGCGCTTTTTTTGTCTGTATCTCATGAGAGAATTAAACTCTCACAAGGAAACCCATCTCTCAGGGAAACTCCATGTACTTAGCAGGAACACGTCTTAATTGCTTGACCAAAGCATCTTTTTTATTTTATGAACCTTTCTCAAAGAGACACTGGGAACTAAAAAGGTAGATGGTTTCTCACTAACTTTGAGACCTA